GGAAACCAGTAGGAAGCCCGAGTCTCTTTGGGGTTTAGTCACAAATTGCCATTCTCTTAACATTTTCTAGTACGACTGTCAAAGAAGAGCCCCTGGGTAGTGAGAACAGATAATGCCTGCTAGGTAGCAAGATTTAGGGATGGAATTGTCCCTCCCATGTCGGCCAAGGCCCCCATAGAGGAAGTTGGAAGTAAATCAGGCAACCATTAGACACCTATGAAGACCCCCAAACTGAGCGTGCTCTTACTCAAGCCCCCAGCCAGGTGGGAGATACACCTGAGCGCCCAAACTAGGCCCAGGCTCATGGCATCACCCAGGTGTGCTTAGCTGAGCCAACGAGGGCCACCAATACCTTCAACCACACCTTCCCCCAGCCAGAAGTGGGCTAGGATCAAGGCAGGGAGCACGCACTGACATGCTCTCTGCCACCCCCCCTCACCTCTTCCCTCTTGCTCCCTTGACCACTCAATCCCAGGGATTCCCCACCCCCACCCCCGATCCCAGCCCCCTGTTCTGCACGTGTGGGTGCTCTTTTCCACGAAGATGCTCGTGCCCAGTGGTGAACCCCTTTGAGACTGTAAAACCAGAAACTTATCCTTCATAAAAACCCACTTGGATCACAAAACAGGCTTCGGCGAGAATTCTTTCAGAATGCAAAGCCAAGAACCGAGGTAGTATGGACTCCAGAAGCCTAACCATGCCCTCAACTTGCTCCCCGAAAGGCTGGCAGTCCAAGTCCACCAGGAAGACGTGCCTGGTTACGTGCTTCCCCCAGATCACCATCTGAACCCACAGGTCTGCTCTGACGCACACCCGGGGACCATGATTTGAAGTCAACTTGAGAGCAACAGGCTTCCACCTGCCCAAGAAAGGCCACTCATGAACCCCTCACCTCACTGCTCGCCAGGTGATCCAACAGAAGGCTCACATGATAGAACAGTATCACTGATCTCACATGCAAGCAGAAGTTTTACTGAAGGTGAGTTGTTCTCAGAGCCCCAGCAAACTCCTTTTTCACAAGAACATTATCGGTTTGTATGGCCTTGCAAAAACACATTGTCCTGGGCACGTCTATGACGGTAAACACTGAGGGGGCACGGCAGGCCTTCTGCAGAGTCACGGGAGAGGCCCACGGCCCCAGGAGCAGGGCTGTCAGGGACCAAAGGTCACCAGAGGCTCCAGAGCCTCCAGGCCTGCACGTGACACGGAACGTGCTGCTGGAGTCCGGGGAAGCTGCCCCCTTAGGAGCAGGAGAAGCGGCGTCTAGCCAAGGGCCCACTGGGAACACAACAAGCCGCTCATCTTCTCAGCCCTCAACGATAGCCCAGTGGTCACAGGAGGGGTAACGTCATGGGAAGTAGTCAAAGATGCTGGGAGGGGTGGGAGGGGCAGGAGGGGCAGGAGGCAGGAAGGAGGGTTGAGAAGGGCAAGAAGAGGCTCGATCAAGGAAGGACCAGGAGCAGGACTCCCCCAGGGTAACAGCTTCCCCTCAGGAACCCACTCACAGGAGTCCCCTGTGAGTCCCCCATCTCCCTCCCAGCCCCCACATTCTTCAACCCCCCATTCAAAAGTCTCCTACCTGTGGGAGACTAGATGACAGTGATC